TATATGGATCGGGCTGCATGCCGCAACGGTATATGAATCGGGATGCACGCCGCAGCGATATAGCGCTTGAGCTGTAGGAGCCCCTCCGAAGTATGCACACTCCGAGTGAGCGCAGTCGACTATATACTTATGGATTAGGTTGTACGTTGCAGAGGTTATTATAAGGTACCTATTGAGCGGGAGTGCTGAGTGAGAGTGTTGATTGACGAGAGTTGAGCTATGAGTGACTGAGAGGCTTGCCCTAGGGGATATACGAGTGATGCTTTGCCCGAGGGAGCTTGTTTTATGAAATTACTGTTTTCACTCCTCTTTATACTGATCCTCTATTGAAAATGTTCAACAAAAAAAATATTTTAAACAACTTTTATTGAAACTAGAGTTTTTACGAGACTACGGATTTGTCTTTGTTATTTCCATTGAGCTTTTTATGTTTTGAGATGTATATGAGTGACCGAGAGGTTTGCCCGAGAGGCTGTTTATGATACATGTTTGCCCGAGGGGATGTATAGAACTATGTTTTGCCTGAGGGGCCGATTATGATCTTCATCACTTTTACTGTAAACTACATTGAACCTCTATTGAAACTGGTGGAAAGAATCTTCAAATGATTTTTACCAAAAACTGAATTTCAAATGAGATGATTTGACTAATATTCTGATTTGAAAGCAACTTGTGCTTACTGAGTTTATCATGATGTGGATCTTATTTGTTTCCTACTGCTCAGTCTCTATTTGCCTTTATTACTTACTGAGTTGGCATACTCACATTACTCACTGTACCTTGTGTGCAGATTCAGGTATTTCTGAACCCAGTGGCGGGTGTTGATTACTTAGTGGCAGGTTCATCGAAGTTAGCAAGGTAGCTGCCTGGCAATCACAGCCCTGCTTTTCACCCTCCTTATTCTCCCTTAGTGAATTTTTGTGATTTTCCCGACCATGTTGGTCTTGATGTTGCCAGACAGTTGTAGTAGATGCTCATGACTAGTGACATCCCGATGTCGGGCTTTCTTTCCACATTGTTGTTTTGTTTTAAACACTTTATAAATGTTTATCGTTAAGGAGCTTTGATTTTTATCCTAAGAATGAAAATATTGATTGGTTTGGGATTGTGTCGACTGGCCTAGTTCTATGATAGGCGCCATCACGACCGGGTTGGTTTTGGGGGCGTGACAATATTATCCACTAAAAATGGATTGGATAATGAACTATTTAAAAACGAGTATAAGAACCATATTATCCATTTAGAAAATGGATAACCAATGAGTCTAACTTTTACATTGGTAAAGCCTTAAATTGGGGGGTTCCTCAAGTTAGGAAGAATAAGAATTCTCCCAAAAGTGATCATATGCAAAAAGTCATGGATAATATGGTTACTCATATCATCCGTCGGTTAACCCTTTTTTATCCGTATTGAATATGGGTCGGATCAGATAATTTATCAATTTTTTCATTACCCGTTTTCGACTCGAACTATGTCGTGATACCACCAACCCGTTTGCCACTCCTACTTATTATTATTATAAGTCTTCGGTCAATGTGGAAGCAGTAAAGTAGAATTTTTTTCCCTCCATAGTAACGTAGAAAATTAAATTAGTCAAAGAAGAAACATTGAAGCTGTCACGACATTTCCTTGGTTTTTCCTCTATAAAAGAAAACCAACTCAAGAGATAACCACAACATAAAATTCCTAAACATAGTAAGGCAAAAACACTTAGAACCAAAGTAGTGATATCATATGGCAGGAGTGAAGTTGCTTGGTCTTTGGTATAGCCCTTTTAGTCACAGAGTTGAGTGGGCTCTGAAGATTAAGGGCGTGGAATATGAATTTATAGAAGAAGATCTACAAAACAAGAGCTCTCTGCTTCTTCAATCCAACCCTGTTCACAAGAAAATCCCTGTTCTCTTTCACAATGGAAAGCCAATAGCTGAGTCTATGGTCATTCTTGAATACATTGATGAGGCTTTTGAAGGTCCTTCCATCTTGCCTAAAGACCCTTATGACCGTGCTATAGCTCGTTTCTGGGCTAAGTTCCTCGAGGATAAGGTAAATTCGTCTTCATGCTTTGTATACCTCTTTGCAGAATTTAGTAAAAAAATTTGAAACTTAATTAAAGTTTTGACTTTTTATGTTTTATATCATTGGTCATGTCTTGTGTCGACTTTTAGATGCACTGATTCATAGGTGTTATCATCATGGTGAATAAAGGTGTTTAAAACGCAAGGTTTTGTTAATATCACATCAAAAGAAGTTACAAAAGACTTAGAATACCTTGGAATTTATGCTAACTTAGCCAGAAAAAAAGAGCGGGCAAAATGGAAGAAAATGATCTATTTTGGTGATACCAACTAGATGAGAATATGCTATAATCATATTAGTACGTTTATTTTAGCTCCTATGTTTTCTACAGTTCGTTTAATTCTGTCATAGGTTTATACGTCAGTAGATAATAAAGAGAGTAACTGTACTGATCTTAGATTAGTTTAAACTAAAGGAAATGATATTGTTAGTCAAAATTCATATATCGACCCCAATGTGCTTACGATTGAGACATTATTGTCATTGTTGTTAAGTTTGGAATTTACTGCAGGTGCCAGCGGTGGGGAAAAGTTTCTTTCTCAAAGGAGAGGAGCAAGAGAAAGGTAAAGAGGAAGCTTATGAGATGCTGAAAATTCTTGATAATGAGGTCAAGGATAAGAAATTCTTTACCGGTGACAAAATTGGGTTGGCTGATATTGCTGCAAATTTTGTGGGACTTTGGCTGGGAGTTTTTGAAGAAGCCTCTGGATTAGTTCTGGTTACAAGAGAAAAATTTCCAAATTTTTGCGCGTGGAGAGATGAGTACATTAACTGCAACCAAAACAAGAAATATCTACCTCCTAGAGATGAGTTGGTTGCCCATTTCAAAGCTCGCTTTCAAGCTGCAGCTGCTGCAGCTGCTGCAGCTGCTCCCAAATGAACACCTGTGAAATTTCAAGATTTTGTGTGGCAACTTCGAGATAAGAATACGCTTATATCTGAAGTTAGGCTTTAACAATTTCAGACCCGTATATTTGAAGTCTTTGAAACTTCAGACTCGCAAATTTGAAGTTCATGAAAGTTTGATATTTTGCGTGACCTATAAAAGTAATGGTGGAAGGGCTAGTTTGGCAAGATATTCACAAGCCAGGAAATGTTTCGTGTTACTGTTTTGTTTGGTTGGTCAGTGATTGTAGAATTAATAAATATTAGTACTTAATTTTTTCATGGAATTGATAAAGGCAAATAAAGAAATGTTGACTCATAGTGTGAAAGCATTTTATATTTCTAAGAAAGCAGAAAATATTACCAGGAAGTATCTCGTGTTACAGTTTTGTTGGTTAGTCAGTAATTATTATGGCTGTCCAGCGGGCCATCCCGTATCCCGTCTTGTCCCACTTCATTTTAAACGGGATGGGACAGGACAATCATTTCGTCCTGTTTGTCCCGACCCATTTCATCCCGTTTCGTTCTGTCCCATCTGTCCCGTTCCGTCCCGTCTGTCCCGGCTGTCCCGCGAGTTTTTATGGTATATTTGTGGAATTTTTTGTTGTATTTGGTAAGAATAAAATAAATCCAACTTATGCACCAGCCATTAATAAAATGATTGCAAAATTTTAAAAGTTTTTTTTTCTCTATTCCCCAAGTTTATTTAATTTCGACTATACTTAACCCATATTTAAAATTAAGATCGCAAAAGGATTTGTTCGTAAAATTTATCAAAATTTAGCAATTCAAGAAAATGAACAACCATCTCTCGAAGACTTCCAAGCTAACATATATTCTTATGCTAGAATCTAGATCAATGTTTGATAAATATAAATCTATGGAAACAAAAAGATGGTGCAACTGCTCCTTCTACTTCTAAGTCTAGAGTAGAAGTTCTATGGGAAGATATGGATGATATAACAGGTTTTGATTTCTCTATTGATGATGAACTTGATTCTAAGCATCGGAGAGTGCTTTTAGCGCGGCAAGATTTTAAATTGGAGATCATAGACATTCATTAGCAGAGGACAGTCTAGAGATTTCCGTATTTATTCAGAGATTGGATTAATTCAGAAAGAAGAAATCTTGGTTTTGAAAAATTAACCACTAGGGAAGAAGAAGAATACAATGAGATACTTACCACCGGGAGCGATGACGGCATGGAGCTCATGGAACATCAATCAACATTGTCAATTCCAGCAGAATGTCCGAGAGATATTATTGATAAGTTATATGATAATTTGTAATTCGCTACTAAGAGGCCTAGTTCAAACAGAACCCTTCCTAGAAGGTGGCTGCGTAGATTAGGTGCTCTTCAAAAGAGTTATATTTGTATTTGAGATTTGAAAGTTCTATTAATAAAATAAAAAGCTTTAAGCGTTAAATTTTATTTATGAATTGTCTTAGTTACTTAATAGTTAATACTTTGAAATTATATTAAATAAATTTTAACTCTATTACAAATTTATAATTACTAGAATATTTCATTACAAGTCTTTTGTTTTAATATTTTATAATTCTTTACTTAGTTTTCTAATTTTCATTTTAACGTAATAACATTTAAGTTTATTAAATAAGTAAAAAATTTAGCCGTTGCAAACTTTAAAAACATAGTAATTTTCAAAAAACTAGACATTTTTTTAAAAAAAAAATACACTTAAGGCCCACGAACCCGTCCCGTCCCGTTCTGTCCCATCCCATCCCGTTTGTTAGCGGGACAGGAGGGGACGAACATTTCATCCTGTTTGTCCCGTCCCGTTTCGTCCCGTCCTGCCAACTTCCCGCTTAAATGTCGTCCCGTCCCGTTCCGTTCCGTTAATTTGGTCCCGTCCCGTCCCGTTGGACGGCCATAGTAATTATACAATAATTAGTCGTCATATCTTTTTCCTCATCGAATTGAAAAAAGAAAGGATTGGTGACTCGAGTGTGAAATCAGTTTTATATTTCTAGGAAGCACAAAAAATTAATTAGCATGCTATGACATTTGACGAAAATGTTGGTGTCATGAGCACATAAGTCATCGGTATTATCTTTTACCTAAAAAAGTCGTAGTATTATTGTTAATCTTCTCACCATCGTTGAGTTCTAAGAAAAGGAAAGCCTTTTATTAAGATTGTCACAGTCCAAAAACCTCGTTCTATAAAAAGAAAAGAAGCAAGAAAAAAGTAAGGGTTCTTTACTTTCTAGTCAGAATACACAGATTACATATTAAGTTTTACACGGTTATACACATATTTGACATATATTAAACACTTATCGATTGTTTTAATTTAAACAATTGACTAGACGACTACTTATGTTAATTTCTCAACTTCCCTCCGCGCTAAGCACGACTTTAAGCAAATATAAGAGGCAGAGGAT